TTCATCTGCCACCTACCTGCCCAATCACCTATCTATGTCTCGTTGCATTTTTTTAATGTCGCCCTCTGTGTTGACACTTCCTCCTAGTTTTGTGTCATCCGCGAATTTAGATATATTAACTTTGATGTCCTCATCTAGATCGTTGATGTAGATGGTAAATAGCTGAGGCCCAAGGACTGATCCTTGTGGCACTCCACTAGTCACATCCCGCCAATCTGAAAAGGACCCGTTTATCCCTACTCTTTGTTTCCTACCCGTTAACCATTCCCCAATCCACGTTAATATGCTCCCCCCAATTCCATGGGCCCTTATCTTTTGGACTAACCTTTTATGCGGCACCTTATCGAATGCCTTCTGGAAGTCCAAATAGACCACATCCACTGATTCACCCTTATCTAGTTTCCTCGAAATATCCTCAAAAAACTCTATGAGATATGTCAAACACGACTTCCCTTTTGTAAAGCCATGTTGACTTGGCCTAATTATATTGTGCTCCTGTAAATACCGCACTACCACATCCTTAATCAACGATTCTTAATTTTTTTCTATCACTGATGTGAGACTAACTGGCCTATAGTTCCCCATCTTTTCCTTTCCACCTTTTTTAAATAGTGGTGTGACATTTGCGATCTTCCAATCCATGGGGACTGTTCCAGAATCCAAGGAATTTTGGAAGATCGTACCGTCAACTCACTTTACAGTATCTTCTGTGAAGCGCTTTGAGACGTCTAGAAGATGTGAAAAGGCGCTATATCAAATGAAAGTATTATTATTATTAAATCCATCCATCCAATCTGGACGGGTCAAGCAACATTAGACTTAATTAAAGCTAGAATTTTTTTAAAAAAATAACATGTGTCCTTTAATTGAATCGGGCACTAGAAATAGTGGTGGTTTTTGAAGATGTGTAAGAAGCTCCTTTGAAGTTAAGCTAATATTCTGTTTTTGCCCAAGAGGCAACTTGTCAACTGAGTGCTGTTATGACAGAAGTTCTGTTCCTAGCTAGTAGTTATTAAGTGGTCTGATTGATTTTACATGCAGTAATTTATAAAAGGTATAGCTACCATTAAACATGCAAATGGAAGCTATATAATCCTTGCATTTGATATAGCGCTTTTCACGTCGGGAGGACGTCCCAAAGCGCTTCACAGAATATACTGTAAAGTGAATTGACTGTATATTTGTGGGCGAACGCGGCAGCCAATTGCGCACAGCAATGTCCCACAAACAGTCGTAGATGGAAAATGACCAATTTATTATTGTTTTGGGTTTTTTGGAGGGATTATTATTAGGCTCTGTGTGGAGTAAGGAAACTTGCCCAAGGTTTCGCCCTCTGCCTGGAATTGAACCCAGGTGTCTTGCTTGCAAAGCAAGTGCTCTAACCACTGAGCTACAGGACTCCACGACTACTTCAGACTGCAGCAACATGCAGTACAGCTGAGCATTTGAGCTCAATCGCAATCTGAGAAACTAAAGTTGTTAAGAACTGCATAAAAGGGAGGAGTAAAATATCTATCAAATATCTGACATTTTCATTATAACTTTTGGGGATTTGCGAGAAACAGAACTTTGAAGATAATTGTTAAGTACAATTGACAAACAGGATTAAACATCCCTCAAAGGCATAACACACCCTAAATACGGCAGTGAGAAATATTTCTAGAAAGCACTTTGACAAGGACATATTAATAATAATCCTTGCATTTGATACGCTGCTTTTCACATCTTCTAGACGTCTCAAAGCGTTTCACAGAATAGACTGTAGTGAATTGACTGTATATTGTGGGCGAAGGCATCTTCCACCATGTTTAAAGCAAACTAACTACCGGTCTCTGCAGATCGCCTGTGGGCCTAGGTCAAGGTGGTCCAACCTTTTGGCTGCCATGGGGTGGATTCCCTATTTGAGAAAGGTTCGCTTGCCACACAATTTTGTGTTTCCTTCCAGAACCATAACAACATTTGCACAGCACCTTTTTCATGTTGGAAGTACATCTCAGCTGGGGGTGGCACCCGAAAGAGGTGGGATTGCGAGGGGGAAAAGATGACTGAAAGTATGGTCAAAGAGTCAAGTCTTGACATGGCTTGAAAGAGACGGAGTAGGAGGGTCCAGGAATGGAACTCCAGAGAGCGGGTGCAAAATGGCGATGGTGGGGCAAATGGGGCAGGAGGACATGAAGCAAGCGGGGGTTTGCTCTCAAAGGGAATAGTCGGTAGGGAGGTCGCAGAGGTAGGGCAAGGAGCTGGAATAATGGATATAGAAAAGTTTTTCACTGGGGAAAGAGGGAGCTTTCTATCAGGGAACTGCATGGTGTGTCATTTGGTGTCTGTCGTCAGTCTGACCCGCGACAGCCTAGGGAAGCTCCAATCGTCTGTCCTGACAGTGAACCATAAAACGCTGCCCTCAATTCTTCTTTCTTTCTCTATGCTCTCTTTTTGTTCCTCTCTCCCCCTTTCATGCTTTCTTTCTCAATCACTCTCTCCCCCCAAGCCCCCACCTCTCTCAATCACTCGCTCTACCCTCTCTCATGCACACTCACACCCTCTCTCTCCTCTCACACTCCCCCATCCCACCACCAATCACCCCAACCCCTTCTTCTCCTCTCTCACACTCACTCAGTTAGTCTCTCTCACTACCCATCTCTCCTAGACACACTCTCCCTGTCCCAGACACACACTCTCCCTCCCTCTCTGTGGTTTTCTCTCCCCTCTCCCTCACATTCTCTCTGAATATCACTGGGTGCAGGGAGGAATAAGGCTTTGGTGTGTTGCATAAAGATAGCTGTCGAGTCCTGCAGTGTAGTGGTTAGAGCACTCGCCTCGTAAACAAGAAAACCTGGGTCCGATTCCCGGATGAGGCGAAAACTTAGGCAAATTTCCTTACTTCACATGCCTTAGTTGACCTAGCAGCAAGTCGGAACCCACTTGTTTGTCAATTAGCGGATTGCTTTCCGGGGGTAATAATTCTTCCCCAAAACAATAATAATTTAGTCACTCAATCCACAACTGTTTGTGGGACACGGCTGTGTGCAATTGGCTGCTGTGTTTCGACCGCAAAATATACAGTATATTCGGTGAAACGCTTTGAGATGTCTCGAAGAAGTGATAAGGCGATATATCAAATGCAAGGATTACTATTATTATCATTAATATTATTTTCACTGTAAAATATTTTGAAATGTTGCAGTGATATAGGCAACAGGTAATGATATTATCTGTGGTTAATAGCCTCAAATGTGCTCAGTCAATTCAGAATCTGGCTGAATCAAGATAAGATTCAGAAATAAAAACTCACAATTCAAAGGAAACCAAATGTTGATCTAACTAAACTGAAGGTTGCAGAGTTTAAACACTACGAACTGCTGAAATTCTAGGGGAGATTGCTATCATGGTATCTAGAAGTTCCTTAGGCTGTACTTCTTTGGTTTAGTGTGTGAGCATTGTCCATAAACATGACCCTTGGTCCTTGCACCAACTTCCATTACTAATGGAATGTGGATGAGAAATCAGGGAACTGTGCAGCAGACTGAAGTGAAAGGATAGGTTTGGTTCAAAGAGAAAACTGGAGCAAGGCAAAAGGTCATATAAAAACACTTTGTGTATGTAACAAGAAACATGGAGAGGAAAGTTTAGAAACAACATAATTTATTGATTTCTTTACCAGAAAGTCGTGAAGGGGAAAAGACAGAACAGATGCAAGGTGAAAACACCAGGCAAACAAAAAAAAGAAATCATATTGTGCGGATATTTCGCATTTCGCCCACAAATATATGGTCAATTCACTTTACAGCATATTCTGTGAAGCGCTTTGAGACGTCCAGAAGACGTGAAAAGCGCTATATCAAATGCAAGGATTATTAATATTATTATTATATCCATACACACTGCCTAGCAATTGGTGTACAGCAAAGTTAGAGATTAACGGCAAACTGGAGGAGAAGATAAACAAATTAAGGTCTGGGAGAGAACAACTGGTCACTTAAGACAGCTAAATTAGCAAGGTCTTGTTAACCCAAGAACATTACTTTCAGCCTCACACCAGTGACTGTTCCAAAACTCACAGCAGCTTCTTTTGCAAACTTTCTCTTTGAAGATAACTTCAAAGAAAAGGCAAGAATACCTTTACTTTACCATTAAGTTGATGGACTGGTGACTTCAGTCAGGAGCTATGCTGGTGCTGTAGTGTTAATTCTAAGCCCCCAAAATATTCACCAACCCCATCAGGAATGTGCAGCTTCAACCCCCATTCCTGACATGCCGAAGCAGGAAGCACCCCATAGTTTAATATAAATCGTCAGTCTCAGTGAGAGAGCACACAAGGGTATTAGGCAGAGTGTGAAATAAAAATGTTACACTGATACAGTAAGGAGATTTTCTCGAATGAGTTAAGACACAGGGTAAAGCATACAGTTTTCTCTTTACCTAATCTCAGTGCACCAGATTGTGCTTGATGTTGGCACTGACCAAATGGGAACGTTTTATTCCCCAAAGCTGGCACATCCCCACTCCCCCGTGCGATGATGATAGAAAGCATACGAAGAAATAAAAACCGTAACAGCACAATTATCTGAGCCTAAACCATTTAGTTTCTAATTTACAGTACTAAGGCTTTGAGATTCTCAGAGTGACTCTGCAGAGGTTAAATGGTAGAAACAAGCAGGTTTGGAAAGTTAAAGGGAAATTCCATGCTCACTGAGTTAAGACAGGTGATGACTTTACCATGACGAACACCCTCACCCTCCCTTCTCCCCATCTTTAAAAAAAAGTAACATCCTAGCAGCCTTTAAACACTAGGATGCCATGAAATAATAATAATTAAGACCACACAATTTGACATTTGCTGAGGGCAACATTGTCGAACACGTAATGCATTGTGACGACTGGATCCCATTGCCAGTCGCCTCCTTGCTGTACATGAACACCAGACCAGCAGATCCAGCACTAACAGCAAATCCTCGGCTAACCTTTGCTTTCTGTTGCAGTGCAATAGTTAATACTCCTACCGTGACCCGGCTGTTGGTGCCCGGGTTCCCTCCCAGCCTGTAGTTGTTGTAGGCCAGATGGCTGTATGGATTGTATCCCACAAACCCTGGGATGCTGGGCATTTGCTGATGGAAACAAATGAGACAAAACACGAATGAGAATGAGTTCAAACAAGAAACATAGAAATGAAATGGTCAGCATACAAAAAAGTGGCAAAAATTCAAACAAGCTATGGTTGTTGCCCTGTGGAGAAATGCTGTCAACTGCACTGTCTACAAAACCTAGTTAAACTGCAGTCTCTCTCAGGACGCTTATGCCGCCATCGCTGAGAGTAGTAGACAGGGTAATGCAGATATCCGCAAAACTCCAGAAAGATCCACTCTGTATTGAAACAAAAGGGTTCACAAAAAATTCAAGCTTCAGATCCTCTTCATGTTCCCGCTTATGGCTGGGTACCCTTATAGCCAGCCACAGTGCTGTGTTCAATGGCTCAGTTCAGATCATTACATTATCTCAGGGAAGGTTAACAGAGCGTCAGCAGTGGATGACACCTCGGATCTCTCGGTCTGAAGCACAGTTCGAGCAAACTCCTGTAATTTGTAGCCACGTGTATAAAGTACAGTGTCAAAATCCCTTGGTGATAATTACCCATCTATAGGTATTGATGTGCACAATGCTCTCTCTGGCTGGCGATCTTAAATACTGAATAAGATGGAAGGTGCTTGTTTCACATTTGAGGTGCAGGTGTAGAATGAAAGTGACTCAAAATATGGTTTGGGTTTCATTATTACTAGTTCTTGCACAGCAGCACAGGAACACCACTGAGATGCCAGAATGTAGACAAACCAAGCAAAAAAAAGACTATGAAAGAGTCACACTTCCACTCAGCCCATGCAGTTCCTTTTAGAAGCAACACCGGGGTTAACACACCTGTGCTTTGTGTATTCAAGAAAAGCAATTATTAAAATCACATAAGAAACAACTGATGCAGTGGGACCTCATAAATACTCTGGCCCCTGGGCCGAACAGCTCGGAGATCGTGGTATAGTCAGAGCAAAAAAAAAGGCTGCCTTCAGGTTGCAACTGATGTCATTTTTTGCAAACTGCACAGGACGTACCAATTATGTAATCTCCTGTGCTGTGTAGTAAAATTGCCCAGACTTTCCTTCCTTTGTGAAGTGGTATCAGTGCTGCCTTCTGTGCATGAAGCTATCTCGGCAACTTTCATTTATTTAGCGCCCTTCATAGCCCGTGAGGCAGTTCTATCACCCGTATCATCTACACCCACGATATGGCTCGCTCTCCCTCGCAGTGTACTGGGTGGCCTGTGTTCAATCCTCACTAATGAACGCACATCCCTATAATTTGGTGTAACTTGATTGACTAATGAGTTCTTCCATGACGACAGGTACTAGCAATTGCTATTTGAATTAAAGCTAATTGGGAAGCTTCAGTCAATCAGAGGTTTATTTTACACCTCTGTGACCTAGGCTGAATCTGTTTGTGTATTCCCTCTTTCTTTGATTTACACAGAAAACTCGAGTTTGTGGACGGTTAAGTTAACTCAACAGAATTTTATTGTAGCTTCAACAAAGTCCACAACCCTCGGCATTAAACGATAAATATCAACAAACACAACTATGAGGTAACAAACATTAATCACACTTAAAACTACACGTGCTGGCAGCCACTTGTAATGAAGTTAATGTGAAAGTGCACGAAGATCCAACCTCTGACTACTACTCATTAATAGTCAGAGCACATACCTTTGTTGTCATCAGGTAGAAAAATAGCGAACAGGAGCACATGGCCTCGTTTTTTTATGGGCATTCAGCCCATCCCCAAATTAGGAGAACCAATGGTAATTGTGTTGCACCAATTACTTGATGTAATTGGTGCTGTTTTTATGGTCCGATCGGAAGCTCCACTATAGGGGACAAGTACACTTCCAATCCTTCATTTGCTCATTGGAATGGTAAGTTACCCACCAAATTCTTGCAATCGACGCTAGAGTCAGACTTGATGGCGCCATAAGTAGCAAAAATAATGTATTTAAAACACTATTCAATATATCTGAACAACAGACAGGCATAGGAAACAAAAGGGGTGACCGTGACAGGGGCAGGGTCCCGGAGCGCCAACAGGGAACTGGCGACCGGGAAGTTGGCCAATGTTTAGCATGGGAAAGCTGCCCGTGGGTCCAGAGCGAGGAGATGCTTTAGCGCGATTCTGCTGCATTTACAATGTACGTTACGTATCAGGTTGAGGGGGAATTAATGACCATAACAAACACAAAATTCATACAATCACTGAACTTTACAGCACAGAAGGAAGAAAGCCATTGGGCCCATCGTGCCTGTGCCAGCTCTCTGAAAGAGCTACCAACTAGTGCCACTCACCTGCTCTTACCCAACAGCCCTGCAAATTCTTCCTTTTTAAGTACCTATCTATTTCTCTTTTGTTATCGAAACTGCTTTCACCACCCCTTCAGGCAGTGTGTTACAGACACTAATCACTCTCTGGGTAAAAGTTTCTCTTTGTTTCCCCTCTGGTTCCTTTGCCAATTATCTTAAATCTCTGTCCTCCGGCTACTGACCCAACCGCCAGACGAAACAGTTTCTCCCTATCTACTCTGTCAAAACAGCTCATAATTTTGAACACCTCTATTTAAAGGTATTCAAATAGCGCCCTTCACCAAGGGGTAGCATCCCAAGCGCTCCGGGACACTACCTGTGTGAAGGGCGCTGTATAAATGCAAGTTGTTGTTGTTAAATATCTTCTCTGCTCTAAGGAGTATAATCTCAGCCTCTCTAGTGTCTCCACTTCATAATGGAGTTCCTCATCTCTGGAATAATTCTTGTAAATGTTCTCTGCACGTTCTCCAAGGCCCTGACATCCTTTCTAAAGTCTGGTGCCCAGAATTGGATACAATACTCCAGTTGAGGAGTGACGTCATTTCCGCATGCTGTTTTTCAAACCTTCCAGGATAAGTATTCTCTTTTCATTTCGATTGCTCACCTCCTCCCTGACCTTCTCCTTTGCCATCCTGTCCACTATTCCCATCCTTCCTGACCCGAGCCATCTCCTCCAAAAATGCCTTCTCTCCTACTCCCCACCTTTCGTTGCTCCCACTCAGTCCCTCTCTCCTACTGTCCTCTCCAGCTTCTCCCTCTCCTGGACCCTTCCACAGCCTCCCTCTGCTCCAGCCTGGGTATCCTGCGCCAGGCTCACCACGGCACTCGGTGATGGTTGTCCCAGAGCAGCCACTCCGACTGCCCCATCGCCTACCTACTCTGCAAGGCTCGCCTCCCCCGCCTCTCATCCATCCTTCCTAACTCTCCCCACTCACACTCGCCAGTCGTCGTCGTCATCCCCCAACCATCCCAAACCCTCCCCCGCTATTAACAAATCCATGTTGGCTGTCCTTTATTAACCCATGTTTTTCCAAGTGAAAATTGATTTTGTCCCGGATTATGTACGGTCTCTAGAAGTCTCCCTACCACCGCCATTAGGCTGAATGGTCTGTAGTTACCAGGTTTATCCTTCTCCCCCTTTTTGAACAGGGGTCTAACATTTCTCTAGTCCTCTGGCTCCACTCCATAACCAACAAGGACTGAAAGATTGTAGCCAGAGCCTCCACTATTTCCACCCTAACTTCCCTCAGCAATCTAGGATGCATCCCATCCGGATCAGGTGACTTTTCTACTTTGTGCATTGCGAACCTTTTCAGTACTTCTTCTCTAACTATTCTTATCTTATACAATTTCTCTATCCTTTCCTCCTTCACTACAACATCAGCAGCATCCTCTTTTGTGAAGACAAATGCAAAGTACTCATTCAGAAGCTTTCCATTTTGGTACCTAATCAGCCCCACCCTTCCTCTGACCATCCTTTTTCTCTTGATATGTTTATAAAAGATCTTTGTGTTCCCTTTTATGTTACCCGATAATCTTTTCTCATACACTCTCTTTGTCTCTCTTATTTCTCTTTTTTCTGCATTCTAGTTGATTCCCTTGTGTTATTGATCATAAGCCTCCTTTTTCTGTTTCATTTTAATCCCAATTTCTTTAGTCATCCAGGGAGCACTAGGTTTGGATGTCCTACCATAACTTTGCCAGGAATTCAGTAATAAACAAATTCTCACGGTTTCAAAGGCACCTGGCAATCGGCAGATCTCAAAAATGAGTGGCTTTGGTTAATAACTTATCCTTCACCTCTTGCCCCACATTCCACTTCTGAGCTTAGACCAATGTATCTTTGAAACTGGTCATTAGAAAGTGCAGAATTACTGGTTATAAGCACTCAGCTCACACTGGGTGAGGATGTAGCAGACAGGCAGCTAGCAACGTTTTACCCAAAGGATTTACAAACAGTAAATCATTTTCTTATGAAGACGTAATTTCAAAACTTTTTTTTGATTCAGATAACCCCAACTTTCCGTTTTTCACAATACAATACTTGAACAAAGTAAAACCAAAAAAACATATTGCATTTTCAAAAGCAGTTGCAGCCAAGCCATGATTCAAAAGACATTCACTGAAAAGCTTATAGTTGAAACATTAGGCGACAACTCAAATCATTGTACCTAACCAATCATTTTCTACACTGACCAAACACATCAAAATATGTTAATTCTTCCAGGCACACATGTAAGATTAGATTTACTTTGCTGGCTTACGTGCTGGGAGCTAGGCTGTGGCTGCAGATGTCAGTTCTCAGTACGAAAGCAGCAACATTAGCAGAACAGAATTAGTTATCAGCTCTGCAAATAGCCTAGGGTCTGAGGTACAATCTTAAATACGCTCTCTAAAGTAAACCTTATTATAACTGGTAACGTCAAAATAAAGACAGGGTCTGGAAGCAACTCCTTTTGACCTTTGGCAGCCTGAGAAAAAAGTTACCTTCCTTAAAGTTAAAGCTTTGTTTGAACATTCAAAAGTGTTTAGAAGACATTTAGAATGATCCATAATCCTATCATTTGTGTTTTAAGCAATGCAGCCTCTGAGATTTTTGCAGACATGCATTAATAAAGCAGTTTTTAATGTTTGAGGCAGAACAATTATTAAAAACAAGATTCCCAGGGCAATGGTTTTAATCTCAACTGTGTTCAGTTTTGAATCGTTAT